TGTTGTAATCTATTATTTTCAACTTGGGTCTTTATTTTATTCTTAGCTTTGATATATTCTTTATTTCTTTTTAAAATATTATTCCAATCGCTACTCATTTTTAAAAAAAATAAAATTAACATATGTCGATCATAACTCTTTCACCCGCGGGTTTTCTAGTATTTACAAATACATATCCATGTTCATCTGGGTTTCTCCATTGAGCTTTACAAACTTTTTTGAATGTATCTGTCCATTCCGTGATTTATCGACTGAATGATTTGAGATACATCTTTATCGTTTAATTCGAATAATAAAAAACAATTTGCATTTTTTCTAATGAACATAGAATCCATCCCGTAAAAAGATTGGGATTGGTATATGCAGTGACAGTTGTGGTGTCTTCCTTTTGTGAAGAATTCTTGTTGAACAGCTTGATTTCTTTGCACAACGCAGTCGTCAAACAATATTAAGTTCTTTCGTTTGCTATCAATATTAGACAAGTCTAGATCATTAACATTTTTCGTAAGAAAAACTTTTATATCCGTTGGATTCTTTCCTTCGATGTAGTTATCTATGATATCTTTTATTTCCACTTCTTCTTCGTTTTCTTCGTAATATTTAAATAGGTCTTGAACATCTTTCTTTGGTAGATATTCTAAAGCTTTGAGGAATTGGTAATACGATTGCTCTGGTGTTGTTGTGTAGATATACAAAGAATCGAAATCTAAAAGGTTAGGTGTTGTCAACATGTTAAAAGTGAGATGAGTTTTCCCAGAACCGGAACTACCGCATATATACATGAGCATTGGGTTATTAGGAAATATTTCTGAATGATTAAATTTTTTACCCATTTTTTATTATTTTATTTTATTCCAAAAATCACTCCTTCTCCTTTATACTTTGAAAAAAATAATCCTTCTCCAGTGTGTATATTTTTAAAAAATATTCCATTACCCTTATGTTTGACTTTGATTTCTCCTGTGTCAATACTATCTACTAATTTATTTAATCCTTGTTTAACAGTTTTCTTGGTTTCTTCCCCAAATCTTTTTCCAAATTCTTTTATTGTACCTCTCATTTCTCCCACTCCTGAACCTTTGGCTTCCTTTTCCATTATTAAATTATGTCTACGTTCTTTAGCGGCTTCAGCATCAGCTGCTTTCTTTGCGTTGGCAGCTTTGACTGCGGCAGATATTCCTCCAGTAGCTGCACCCGCCGCTGCAATAACACCAAATATTAAAGGAAGGAAAGGTAAAAATCCACCTTTTTTGTGGGACTTTGCTTCTGCAAAGTCCCAGTTTGTTATCATATTGTCAATTCTTTTTGACAACGCCCTGCATTGTTTTCTAACTGTTTATTTTTTTTTTCTTCATCCCGGGAGCTTAGTTCTGGGAAACGGCAACGGGTACGGCAAAACGGATTTCACCATGTTTTCTAACCTGTGAGAATTGTGGAATGAATGTAAAACGAAAATTTTCTGAGCAACATGAAGCGACGTTCGCAACAAACAGAAAATCGCCTCTAGAGGGCATGTTTATCAACCGATTTTGATGGGGTTTCTTTCATTGTATTTCTTGTAACAAAGGGCAAAAATAACATATGCATTATATTACCAGCCTTAATACAAACTTATTAAACTAAAAAAATCCGCACCGGATGTAACATGTTGGCCGCCATTTTGGTTTGCCTCATTTTGCAGAAATTGCTATTCAGAGGCCATTTTTCATCCGATTTACATCTTCATATTTACTGTGATGATAATTTGTGACCTTGTCTATCTGATGACCTTTTGACCTTTGGGGTCAGATACTTATTTCCGATTTTACAGGGGTCTAAATATGGACCATTTTGAGCCTTTAAAGTGCTCTATCTCGGTCCCTAATAGAGATATGGCAATAATTCTTTCGATTTTGTAGTGTAGAGATTCTCAGCTTTCCATAGATATATAACATGCATACCTTACATGCAAATTCAAAACTCCATTCACTTAACATGGGGTTATTATTAGATAAATCGGCTAATAGACCTTTTCACGATAAAAGCCGCGCATGCGCATAACTACCCTTGAGTGGCAAGCCGTCTGTTTACATTCGATACAAGATGGCGTCCATCGATAAATTGAGAAAATTGAAACTAACTGATTTGAGAGTTCTTGCAATCGAGAAAGGGATAGATGCCAATGGTAAAAAGAAACAGGAGTTGATAGAAGACTTGTTAAACAGCCAGGTTCCAACTTC